GCTGCTGGGTCACATGGCATCTTGCACCTATGTAGTGCAACACGCCAGACTACGTCTCAGACCCCTACTGATGTGGTTGGCGTCTGTATATCGACCGGGCCACAACAACCTACATATGGTGCTTACGGTCCCGAGCCCCACTCTCGACTCCCTGCGCTGGTGGCTGGACCCTCAAACGGTGGGGTGCAGTTTCATCCTCCTCAACCCACCCTGACTCTGGTCACGGATGCATCCGCGCTGGGATGGGGGGCTCACCTCAAAGACCTGACAACGCAGGGTCTGTGGCAGGAAAACAAGCTAACTCCATATCGAGGAACTCAGGGTGATCCGCCTTGCATACCCAAGCGTTCCTTCCCCACCTACGAGACCGTTGCGTAGAAGTTCTGACAGACAACACCACGGCCATTTTTATCTGAACAAACAAGGCGGCGTCTGGTCATCGCCGCTCTGCCACGAAGCCCTTCTTCTGTGGGAATTCTGATTTGCTGTCAAAGAAAAACACAGTTCTCACTCTTTGGTTAGTTGCAGCAAAATCAGATACTTTATTCTCAAGCAATTGCATAGAGGGAGAGAGTGCACTAGAACATAGGGTCTCCCCCTCCTAGGCAGGTCTCTCTACAGGTAAACAATAACAGCAAGCATTTATACCTTTTGTTACAGACAATAATAAGCATCAGCTGCATTTTGTTTATACATAGGTCATCCTGATATCTTATTTTTCTCATTTATACTCTAGTCTACATTCCATATTATCTACACAAGGTCGCAACAACTTCTCACACAGTTCTTCCCACTCGCCTCACACAATCCTCGCTTCTACAAATCTCGCGTTATTAGGGTTACAGTTAGCCTGACTCTTGCTAACAAAGACGGTTTACATTTGAAATTCCCTTCCAATCCCTGTCAGGCCTTGCTCTGCTTCCACATAGCCCGCTCCATCACTCTCCAAGCTTCGTACCTGCCGGGTGTTCAGAACATGCTGGCAGACAGCTTGAGCAGATGCTTCCTCACGCACAAATGGTCGATTCGCCCGGACATCATCTACTCGATCTTCCACACCTGGGGGTTTCCCTGAATCGACCTGTTCGCTTCGCGGACCAACAGGAAGTGCCCAGCCTTCTGCTCCTTCAGGGGTCACAGTCCGGGCTCGATCGCGGACGCTTTCCTGGTCTTGTGGTCGGGCCAGCTTCTCTACGCCTTTCCGCCATTTCCGCTGATCCACAAAGTACTTCTCAAAGTACTCCTGGAAAGCCGTAAACCCTTTACCAGACTCACTTATGAAGCTAAATGGAAAAAGTTTTCCACCTGGTACGCCCAGCGGCAAGTATCCCTGCTCCAAGCTCCGATACCCTGCATCCTGGACTACTTGATGCACTTGAAAGACCAACATCTCGCCTTCAATTCCCTTAAGGTTCACTTCACAGTCATTTCAGCATTCCATTCGGGAGCGGCGGGACACTTAGTGTTCGCACACCCAGTCGTGCGGCGCTTCCTGAAAGGTTTGGAAAAGATCCATCCCCCGACGGAAACCTCTCGTGCTAGCCTGGGACCTGAACTTGGTTCTCTTCTGTCTGATGGGGCCTCCTTTCGAGCCACTGGCTTCCTGTTCACTCCTCTACCTTTCCTGGAAGGTCGCCTTTCTCTAGTGGCCATTATTTCGGCACGCCGTGTTTCTAAACTACGAGATCTCACATGTGAACCACCTTATACCATCTTCCACAAGGATAAAGTTCCACTAAGGCCTCACCCAGCCTTCCTGGCAAAAGTGGTATCTCGTTTCCATGTAAGCCAGGTCATTTTCCTGCTGGTTTTCTACCCGAAACTGCATGCCGACCTTCGGGAGCAGCGTTTTCATTCACTGGACGTTAGAAGAGCTCTCGCCTTCTATATAGACTGCACAGGTCATGCCGTAAGATGACTCAACTGTTAGTCGCCATCGCGGAATGGAAGAAGGGCACTTCGGTCTCTGCCCAGCGGATATCTTCATGGATTACCGCATGTATCCGTACCTGCTACAATCTGGCAAAAGTCCCTCCGCCTGCTATTACGGCTCACTCCTCAAGGGCTCAGACATAGTCTATGGCCTTTCTGGCAAATGTGCCCCTTCAGGACATCTGCAGGGCTGCCACATGGGCCTTAGTGCATACCTGCACGTCACACTACGCCATAGTCCAGCAATCCCGCGATGATGCGGCCTTCGGTAGGGCTATTCTTCAGTCGGCACTACCTTGACTCCAACCCCACCTCCAAGGTAAGGCGTGGGAGTCACCTAACTGGAATTGATCTGAGCAAGCACTCGAAGAAAAACGGTTACTCCCCTCTTTGTAACTGTTGTTCTTTGAGATGTGTTGCTCGTATCTATTCCATTCCCCCCCACCTTCCGCTCTGTTGGAATAGCCGGCAAGAAGGAACTGAAGGGGGGTCGGGCCAGCAGGGCCTTATATAGAGCGCCATATCGGCACCACTCCAGGGGGCTCCACAGCCAGCCCGACGGGTAGCTGCTAGGGAAAAGTTTTCCGACTTCCGTGCATGGGGTGCGCGCACACACCTAATAAATAGATATGAGCAACACATCTCTAAGAACAACAGTTAAAGAGGTGAGTAACCGTTTTATCAGTGTGGTTGACGATCCGTGATGGACAGCACTGTCCTGGCTGAATGACACTGTTGTGCAAGTAATAATGAGGCTGCTTTTTCAGCTGCGTATGGGTGAGTCTGCTGTAGACTTGCTGTGCTTATCCTTGGTTGGAGGGTACTGGAAGTAATCTTGTACTCCTGTTCATCTTCACCTAGGGGTGGGGAAGGCATACAGAAGAATGGATTGCAGTATCAGTACGCTGATGTTACATAACTATCCCATTTTATTAACTCATTCTTGACTGTCATCCAGTGAGCAGACTTTCTAGGTAACTCTTATTATGATGAGAAAACTGGTTAAAACTCTATCCAAAAGAAGACTGAGGGTAGTGATTATGGTTTTAATCAGTTTGACAGATGTGCCTGTCTTTTCTGGAGACTACGGAGGGTGTTGATAAAATAAGTCAGAGAATAGACAACCCTCCTGCTTTCTGAGCCTGGACATACTGTTGTGGTTATTACCATCTGACAAGTCCCTGTCTGCAAGGCTGACCTGCCTCCATCATCCATAACTTTGTGAAATCTAGACTAGATTACTAGGTGCTCCATAGTTTGGCTTCCTTTGAAATTGATTTACAACAAGCTGCAAAATGTGGCCTCTTAGGGTACATCTACACAGCAAAAAAGACCTGGGGCAGTGAGGCTGAGTCTGGGTCAACTGACTTGGGCTTTTGCTGCAGGGCTAAAAATAGCAGTTTAGACATTAAGGATTGAGCTGGTGACTGGGCTCCAAGACTTTCCCCACTCACTGAATTTCAGAGCCCAGGCTGCACCCAAAGCGTCTACATTGCTAGTTTTAGCCCTGCAGTACAAGCCCAAGTCTATTGCCTTGGGCTCTGCTGCAGGTGTGTTTTGCTAGGTAGATGTACCCTTACTTGCTACTCACGATAGCAAATGGAATTGTTAGTCTCTAAGGTGCCACAAGTACTCCTGTTCTTTTTGCAGATACAGACTAACACGGCTGCTACTCTGAAAAATGGAATTGAGTCAGTCGTGCTCATCCTTTGGGACCTTCTTTAACTCATGGCATTCTACCGGATTCAATTGGATATCCTTGTATATAAAGACTTCCATAACTGAGAAATTATTCTTAGCAATGTGGGTATTTTTTGTAAGAGTTTACTATAAGGTTCCCATAAAGCTTTTGATTATAAGGTGCCCAGATCTCATGACTGGGCATGATATAAATCAGTAGATATAAAATCTTGAGTAGGACATAGGGCTTATGATCTTGGTTTATGATCTTGCCTGTCCGTTACAATCAGTTTTTGTCCCTAGACTCAGTCATCATGGGGCTGAAGGTAGACCCTTTCTCGGTAGTCTGACGGTTGCCTTGGTAGCGTCAAGCTAAAGCAGCTTGGACTTATCTGTAACCACTTTTTAGAGAGACCCTACATTGTCTCTTCATCTTACTCATTCTCTCCCCTACTCCTTAGGATTTAAGTCCTTTTTAGTCAAGTGGTTTACCCTGAAAGTTGGAGTTTTTTCTTGTGCCATATTCCTTTTTGTTCTGTCTGGTGTTTGGGGTGGCTACCTTTCTGATTTTTGTGTTTTGTGTTTTGGCTTGTATTTTATTGTGCTTGAATCCAGATAAGAAGTGCCATACAAACAGGTTACATAAAACGGTTTTACTTAAAATACAAGTGCTGCCTGCAATATTTGAACATGTGTATCTCCAAAACAGCATGCAGTAATTATATTTGCTTCTTTGAAATACTATAATGTAGCTAATGGGATAACGCTATAAAGTATCTTTCATTAGGCCGTTATACAGTGGTCACCATTAACCTCTTACAAATTTTGCAAGTATGTAATGTTATTGTAGTACTAGTATATGACTGTACAGACATGGTATTGTGAATACTTAAGCAACATTAACTAGACACTTTCTGATTACTGTAGAATGTGTGATCTTATGAACCTTGGAGTAATTGGAGTTATGCGTAGTCCTGCTTAAATGATCAATTGCATTACTATGAAATAAAAAGTGTGTAATATTTCACAGTGCACTATGCAGCTGTAATAAATACATTCTTGTAAACTAGATCAAATTCTTTCTATCCTTTGGGTTATTTTTCCTTTCTCCTCACCCCAATCTCTTTGACTAGAGGAATGAAATGGCCTAGTATCCCCTTAAACATTTATTCAAACTAATTCATTTTTTTCACTAGAGGGCAGCCATGATCTTATGACTCTGTTAGTAAAATTTGACAAGACATTAATCATAGTTTAGATTTGTTTTCAGTATTATCCTTTCAGAAGACCTGTAAGTATTCAACCAGAAATGCCAGTGCTTAAACAATTCTTAATGTTATATAATCTATACTTTACCAAATTAATCAAAAAAATGTTTTTCAAAATAGCCTGAGGAGACTCCTCCACTTGCTGTTTCTACTGAGCCATCTGTAATTGTATCAGAGAGTGATTCTGACAAGATCTCTTCCCAAGTGCCACAGATGCTACAAGAGACAGATGTTTCCAGTCCTAATATTAAGCAAAATAGTGTGCCTCCTCCACAAAGTAAGTAACACTCAGTATGAAGATCAAATCATGCTGACTTTTTTTCTGTTAAATTTACATCCTTAATAACTGGAGGAGTATTTAACCATCTGCTGGGTGCAGGGAGGAGAGAGAAGGAAGACCTGTATTTGGCAAATGCACTAGCTTTTTGCTGTATGGAAACCTGGATTCAAATCTTTTTTGTATCACAAATGAAACTGGTGCCTAGCATTTTCGAGTCCCTACTGGACGCTTGTATCGAGCTGTTGGAATATGAACAATTCAGCATACTTGGTAAATTTTGCTTACTAAAGTGAGAACTGGAGATTCATGTTATGACTAAGATCTTTGGCAGACTTATATGAAAAGCTTGTACAACACCGACCTGTCTTGTTACTAACTGTAAGAAGTGCTATTAGTCTTGATTATCATTTCTATTTTGGAATTTGTAAGGGGCCAATCTCTATAGTGTTTAAGGACCAGCCTTGTTGAAAAACATTAACAGTTGAATATTTTTTTTCCCCTTTGGATTGAGCAAATTTGAGTATTAATGCATCAGTGATAGATTGTAGTTCAGAATGTTTCAGTGAATTGTAGTAGTCATGAAAGAGCAAGTAATACCATGGGAGTAGCTGGGTACTGGGCAGGTGGATGTGGCATATGGCTTTCTGCCATATGCACCTCAGCCTAAACTATTGGTGGTGGTATGGTTTTTGTTTGCATTGTGCTAATTAGTACCTAGTGGCCCCAAACCAGGGATCAGGAACCTGTTCTTCTAGGTACTGTACTCATATGTATCAAAAAGTTGGTGCCTACCTCAAAGAGCTTGCAATGTGAGTATATGAAGGGAGCCAACAGATGGATCCAACAGATGTGGAGGGGGAGAGTACAAGGTGACAGTGAGATTGTGATTTGTGTATTTAAAGTGTCTAGAAAAGAACAAGCTAATACACTAGACCACTGTCACTTGAATACTAAAAATTTAGAGAATCCTAACTTAGCTTTTCAGCCCTTTTGTAGCTTACTGTTGTGTAATAATTTGAAAGATTCCTAAATGTTTTAAAGCACAAAACCAGAGCCCATCATGTGAGAGGAATTTAAGCAATAGACTATTTTAAATTTAAGTTGTCATCTTTTGCATGGCTGATCAAATTGTACTTGCCCTGTGGGGGGGGTGAGGAGTAGAACTTTGCAAAAACGGCTTAAACAGTACATGCTATATTTCTGCATAACTTCATCTTATATTAATGTGAAATGTACTGAATTAATATTTTTGAAGCGAATTGTGCATAAATGTCTTGAACCTTTTACATGGGTTTCATTTTATTTTTTGTTACAACTTTTTTAGCCAAGTCTGAAGATAGCTGGGAGTCCCCAAAACAAGTTAAAAAGAAGAAAAAAGCAAGAAGGGAAACGTGAAATTCCTGAGATGGACGTGTGTTGGTGAAAAGCTGTCATGAAGATTATGCTGTTTATGCAATAATTTGTGAACATGTACAGAATTTTATATATTTCAACTGATTTTTAAAACAGAACTGCTGTGAACACGACCATCTTTAAAAAGGAATCAAAGGAAATTGTGATAGAGAGCAGCAGAAAGTGCTACAGTGCTGGAAGATGCTTTGAAGAGTCTTTTTTTCCCACTGTAAGGGAAAGATCTTTAAAAAAAATAAAATAAAATAAAAAACCTGGTTTTACAACACAGTACCCTGTTTACAACAGATTATGCCCTATCTCATCTGCAGCTGGGAATAAAGTATTGATTTTTTTTTAAGAAAGGGTTGTCTGTAAAATAGTTGTCTATAAAATAGGTGGTGTTTCTTGCATCTCTTTTGAGTGATGCATAAGAAACTGAGATCTACCATTTGATTTTGCTTCATGCCTAAATCAAAGTGCTTTGATTAAATACATAATCTGCCATATTTTTACAATATGCTGGTTAGCCAAGCATGCTAACCATTAAAGGAATCACAAGTGCAAATAAAATCATTAAATAAAAATCCATTTGTACAGTTCAACCTTCATGGTTTATTATAAAAAGTTAAAGAAAATAAAAATTGGTGGGCTAAAAGGCTGAGAATGTGATTGCTGAAACTTGAGTATGGTTCATGAAGTTATTTTTGATAGCCTCTATTACATTACTTGAATTGTTCAAAGTAACAGTATATTTTAATTAAGAATGTGGCAATGTGCATAAAATCAGTTCTATTGTTTTCTACTTTATCCTGTATTCCTTTTTTTTTTTTGGGTTGGTAGGTTGACTCATTTAAAACTCATCCCTGATCATTTTTAGACTCTTAAAATAAAATTCATATTTTCCTTTCCCCTTATCATTTATTAATTACCTTTCTCTTTGTTAATTTTTTTTAAAGCAAGATCAGCTGTTTTCATTCACTAACTGTACAGGACTTTAAGGATTTGGTGGAGAATGAAAGAATGGCTTCAGACAGCTTTAATTGACATTGTCAAGACCACCAATTATCAGGAATACATTTTTTTTACTGCCTTAACCTGTAGTCTGTAGAATATGCATCTAGACTTCTTGAAGGGGATTAGTGTTTTTATAAGAAATTCCATGCAAGTGTAGCAGTTGTAAAATAAAGAATATTTCCCACTTGAAACTGTTGATTAAAATGGTGTTTGAGAATTGTCCTTATTTTCAGGCACTGTGTAATTGCATCGTATCAAACTGGCAGGTTTCTTTTTATCAATAAATGTGCATGCTCAGCCATGTACACTGTAAATAGCCTTTCCAAGCTTGTGTTTGATAAGGACCATAATTAACATCACTTATTGAATTCTGGTAAAGAGCCATGATTTATTTCATGTGATTGACTTTGTTGGTTTTTGTGTGGCAAAGAAATGAAGCTGTAACCAATGGTACTGATCAGCCATCCACTATTCTCTTATACAGGACTGCAGTTTGATAGTATTTACGTGCAAGACAAGAATAGTTAAAGAAACAAGCTGATTTTAATTGTACTGAAGACATGCCTTACTAATTGACGCTTTCCTAATAAATGAATACTAACTTATACAGGTATCAATACCTATGTCAAGAACATGGCAAATGTGTTTATATGTTCAAAAGTTTTGTTTAATTCAATGACATTTCTAAGTTGATTTGTTTAAAATAAATTGAGCAAATTGATAATATTGTTTTATTTACTGGAAGGGAGTAATGTTTAAGCCTTGATGCCTATCCAGGATTCCATGTAAACTGAACTGAAATACAGTTTTCCACAGGAATTTTTAAAAAGGGAATGTTAAAAATGAAATCATGTAAAGTGCTATTGCTTGTAGATAACATTTCCATTTTGCTTGCTTTTTTTAGTAAGTGTGACAAATACTTTACTTGTTTTAAATTTAGGTTTATAGTGAATGTCCAAAACTTGTTTTGCATGGTTCCCAGTCTCTACACTTGGCTAGAAGTGGCATTCTGAGGAGGGGTTTGAGGACCTTAAGTAATGATGTTTCCCAAAAACGCTTTAAAAATTGAATGACTTAAGTGTTATATTTTTTCGTCTCTCTTGACAGAGGGAGGTGACTGCTTAGGGTTGCCAAATAAGTCCTTGAATCACTTGACATCTTAATAAAACTTGTTGCAAATAAATCAGACTTGCTGCTAAACAAACTGCTGTTCCTAATTTATGCACATTAATTTTCTTCTGCCCAGTCTTAACTTCAGAATGCCGTCCACTTAGCAGCACTCCCAGTCATTTTTTCACTAGGAAGTATATGGATTGATTGTCTTGGAAAATTGGACACTAATCTTATTTGACAAAAATGGCCCCAAAGGAAGATGAAACTTGTCTGTGAATGGAGGTTTAAAAATATCTACTTATTGCTTTTCTTTTACCCAAGTAATGATTAGTCTTAATGATAACTGTACACCTGGAGCAGAGAGAGAAAACAATACAGTTTAAAGAAATTAAGATGCTCATTTTGCTGAATGTTGTGGAATGTTTTCATAATTGAATCTAATGTATTGTTCCTTGTAATATTTCCCAAATGGTTTATATACACAACTTTACAGAAATTGTGGTTATGATGTATAAGTGGATAGTTGTTGCATGGTTTAATTTCTTTTTTTCTTTTAGGGAAAATGTACAGAATTCCTAGTGCTTTGTTACAAAGCTCGCAACCTGCAAGTTGGTTCAAGGTGGATGAAAACTGTATTTCTGACATCTCCTTTCATAAACTTAAAGGAAAACTTACAGTAGAAAAACCTTATGAAAATATTTACTGAAGAATGTATACATTAAAAATGAATTTTCAAAACGGTTTATAGAAATGCCATTAGTATCACTATTTCTCTCTTGGAATTTTCTCATTGGAAGCTGCCATTTTACCAATAGTTCCCCATCTGGAAGCCTGATCTGAGGAATAGGTCTTGAGTGAATGCATGACTAAAGTAGACTTTCAAAGTTAGTAAACTGCTTTATGGCTAATGTAAATGGTAAGTAATTAAATTACTCAGAAGGTTCCCAGTTGAATAAGGTAATGTAAAACATCTTTGGAATTCTTGTAGTCATGTATTCAAGTTTCATTTATGTTCCACATCCTAATCTGCATACTACTGTCAAGAGGGTAGATCTTTATTTAATTTTTTCTCTTCAGCCCAAATATACCAGTCTAGAGAGTGGACAGTATGATGAAGATAGGAAAACAAAACTTTGATGTTAGCTATACAACATGGATTAGCCCAACAGTTCATACCAGCTGAGTTCCCATCTTCATGCAGGTGAATAATTTGCACCTCCATTTGAGCTGTGGAGTTCTGACTATCAGGTTTTTAGCCGTGGATTTAGTCAATATTAGTTAAGGGTTCACTTGTTAGAGTCCCTTGAATTTTCTGTACAGTCATTCACCTATTTTTCTTGCTACCTTTCAGAGGCAGTGATTACTGTCCAAGTGGATAGTGAGTACCCAATTCTTTTAGTGGCCTGGAGCCACGGGAACCAGCTGAAGGAACCTTGGGCAAATGAGGACAGACAGCATGTGGCTCCCAGGATGTTGCTAGATCCTCTCTCTGTTAACAGAACACTAAGTCCAGCAGTTCTTCTGACTTTTCTGTCCTGTTGTGAACATGCTCATGCAGTGGAAAAAATAAATCCTTTTTCAGGGGCAGCCTTCTGAATATTATCCTAGTCTATTTTGTACGGCAAGTTGTTTGAATATTGATTTGCACAAGCACAGAACCCCAAAACCCAACAGTCTGCCAGTCACTTTAAACCTGCTCATGTTCAATCATAGCTATACTTGCTGGCACTAGAACTCATTTTAACAAAGAGAGCCTAACCATATAAAGGGTCTCCCTCTCAACTTACATACCTGTTGACAACTTTGGTTTTTAAATACTTCCCCATTGTCCTAAGCTGACTTTTTTCTAGTGAATTGAAGTACTTTTGCTTCTCCAGTGGAACCAGGATGTGTCCAATGTTTCAGGCTAAACTTCTAGTACAACAGGGTACAGTGTTCTGAAATCCTTTAAAACAAAGCAGTTTCAGCTAACTTGTGTTTTTGCTACTCATGGCTCAATTATGGATCAAAACTCTTTGGCAATCTCAGATGAGGATTTGTGCAGCTCAAGCAATTGTAGCAAGTAGTCTCTTACCCTAAATTTACTCAGTATGTCACTTTCAGCACATGCTGGGGGAGAAGGTACAGTTCAGTAAGGACTCAACCACTCACATTGAACTCTTAAGGGGAGCTAGGACCAAAAGGGGCTCCAGGTGTTTGCCCAGGCATGGACTCCCTTGTCAGACTTTGCTGCTGAATGTTTCACTTAGCTACTCCATGAAATTTACCTTGGTGCAATTATATTTGTTCCTTCCCATTTCAAAGTTCTCTTCTTGCAAGTCGCTGTTTTACTTGGGCACCATGATTCCCACATGCTTGTCTGACTGGGGGAGGTGTCAATCCTGTTAAGGTGCCAATAGATACCAGCACAGGAGCAGACCACTGTTCAGCACAGTGGATTTGGGGGTCACTGTGGCACTTTAAACTGACAGCATTGTTAGTGGGCTATCAAATGGTGTTTAGGCTTCTATCCAAAGGATAGCACTTATATGACCATCCATATCTAGACAGCTACCTAATACAAGCAAAATCATTTGCAGGTATCACCCAAATTGTCAATGCAGTTTGGTCCTTCCTGGAAGCTCATGCTGGGTTATAAAGGCAATCAGAAGCGAGCCGTCCCACCTCATGTGCTGCTGTAACTGGGAACTTGGCTACGTTCTTGAGCACCCATCACCAGTCTTGTGATGGAGTGTCTGTCATTTTGCTATAATCACAGAGCTATTGGAACACCATGGTCTGGAGAGTCTGAGCCTCAGCCAGAGTGACTTAAAGAGTGGGAACTGTCATGTGGTGAGCTTCCTTGATAATGATGGGAAATGTAGGTGCAAGTGACATAGTAGTCACCCAGCTCAATGCTCTATCTGTGGTTGTCCATACCTTCACCCATGTGACTTCAAACAGGCATATGCCATTTCCATCTGATGAATAGAGAAGGTCCTCCAGAAAATATCCACATCAATGGATAAAGATTGCTCTGGTAGTTCCAAAGTGGTCCAGGAGACATCTCTATCTAGTTCTCATAAACCTAATCCTCAGTTTATGCCATCCATCTTCCTCAGGCAGGATCTGTTTTCCTGTGGCCAGTGTTTCTCTCCTCCAAAGCTGTAGGGGATGGGAGTTTTTTGGGAGTAGGGAATATGCACTGTGCTACATTTGTGATAAGTTACTACTTGTGCTGATGTGCTTTCGGGTGTTTTGGGGACCTACTGCACAAAGAAACCCTTGTATTTGTTTCATCTTGAAGTTCCTAACTTACCTCCAAAAGAGGCAATAAGTTTGCTAGTTGCCTGTAGGTTCAAGCTGTGGCCATCTGATGGGTAAAAACATCCCTCTGGCTGAGTACCACTGAAGAATTATCCCAGTTTCTTAACAAAGGTGACAAGCTCAAACCAGACTTACAATTCCTAGCATGCCTTACCTTATCCTGAATGCTTTCATGGTTTCTCCTTTTCAGTCAATATGCTAGATACTGGAAAGATTTCTGATCCTAAAATGATATTTTAGTGGCCATCTCCTCAACCATGTGAGTTGAACAGTTAGAGAGTGTCTACAGTGCTGCTGGGAATGAGCCTCCCAGCCCAGGTAGATAGTCTCATGCTAGTGGGGCTCAAGCTAGTGCCTTAAAAATTGTGTGTGGACATTGTGGCTCCAGCAGAGGCTTGGGCTAGCTACCCAAACTCAGACTTGGTTGGCAGGAATGGGGTGGGGGGAGCACGAGAGCTCGAGCTGCTGCACGAGCCACAATGTCTGTACTGTTATTGTTAGCATGCTAGCTCAAGCAGTGCTGCTGAGTCTGTCTACCCGCACTAGGAGGCTTGCTCCCAGCTGCAGTGTACATGTACCCCTAGAGACCCTTCTCCCTGCAGGTACTTAACTTACTAGACAACCTGGTGAAGACACTACCTCTAGTGTTTGCCTTCTTAGTTCCTTTTAGCTATCTTTTCTCTCCCAGAAACAAAACGGAGATACTAATCCACACTAAACATGAGAAGGCTATGAATTTGAATGAAAATACTGGTTTCCTAAAATGTCTATAGTTTCTATAACCAGATCTGAGATTCCGTCAGGGATGCCTATGTTGCCAAGAATATACCCAGGCAGCAGGTTCGAAACAAACAAAAGGAAGTGTGTGAAGAAATAATGCACAGTCAACCTGTGGAACTCCTTGCCAGAGGATGTTGTGAAGGCCAAGATTATAGCAGGGTTAAAAAAAGAGCTAGATAAATTCATGGAGAATAGGTCCATCAATGGCTATTCGCCAAGCTAGACAGGGATGGTGTCCCTAGCCTCTGTTTGCCAGAGGCTGGGAATGAGTGACAGGGGATGGATCACTTGATTACATGTTCTGTTCATTTCCTCTGGGGCACCTGGCATTGGCCACTGTTGAAAGAGAGGATACTGGACTAGATGGACCTTTGGTCTGATCCAGTATGGCTGTTCTTATGTTCACCAGCATGCTCTGTACCAGGGCAGTGGCTACCTTCATGGGCAGAAAGAAGGCTTCTTGAAAACTGTGGCGCTGCTATCTGGCTTTGCATACATTCTTTTTTTTCCTTCTGTTGCTACAACTTTTATATATGTCACAGCACATGCTGTGGTAGGCGGACCCTGCACACAGTTGTCGCACGCTCATTTTATATACTCACCCTATGTCTGTTCTAGCCTTATGTACTTTTAGGGCAGTTCCCTGGTGTCTGGACTGGCTTATTTGGATATGGGTCACACTTATTTCCCCTTAGGCTAATCCAGATACCAAGTTTGTTCTGATGATGCAGAATGAGGTTCTTTGGGAGCACCCTCTGTGGTCAAAGGTGTTTCTTTTAATATTTTATTTAAAGATTGTTTCATATGTTTTTCTCGTGGTTTTAGTGTGAGCAGTTCTGATGATGAATGCAGTCAGGTTTGTGTCTCTGCCTTCTAGCCTTTTACTTAGAATGTTCATTTTTGATGGGTTTTTTCCTTCCATTTGATGGTTTTCCCTGTTTGACAGCTTTCAAAAGCATTTATTCAGCTGGGGCAGTTCATATTGTAAAGGGATGGTTTCCCAAA